AACGTTTTGTTACCCGGCTAGGTAACATCTTCAGTGCTAAAATGGGATGGGGTTTGCTCTCTGTTTATATACTGTGGCATGCCTTGCCAATGCTGGTAGAGATGGGGGTTTTGTTTTGCTCCTCTGGTAGTTCCGTGATTAGTATCTAATCAGTATAAACAGAGAGCAAACCCCATCCCATTCTAGCACTGAAGATGTTATCTAGCCGGGTAATGAAATGTTTGCAAGAAAAGAACCAAGCTCAGAGAACCCCAATAACTTCTCTCACTTTGACTTGGTGCTAATAGGGCATCTGTTAACTCCTCTTCAACTGTGCAGGGGACTGCACTATTAGGGTGCTTCCAAATGACAAAGACAAAATAGCTTCACAATGTACTTTGGTTATTTTTAGCACTACCAAGGAACTTGAGAACAATTTTGCAATTCTGTGAAAGACAATTTAAGATTAAGGATTTTGTACAATATGGACAAACACATAAGAGAGTTACAGTGGGGCAAAAAAGTATTTAGTCAGCCACCAATTGTGCAAGTTCTCCCACTTAAAAAGATGAGAGAGGCCTGTAATTTTCATCATAGGTATGAGAGACAAAATGAGAAAAAAAATCCAGAAAATCACATTGTCTGATTTTTAAAGAATTTTATATCCTTTGTTGGCAATGAGGCCTGTAATTTTCATCATAGGTATACCTCAACTATGAGAGACAAAATGGGGGAAAAAATCCAGAAAATCACATTGTCTGATTTTTAAAGAATTTTATATCCTTTGTTGGCAATGAGGCCTGTAATTTTCATCATAGGTATACCTCAACTATGAGAGACAAAATGGGGGAAAAAATCCAGAAAATCACATTGTCTGATTTTTAAAGAATTTTATATCCTTTGTTGGCAATGAGGCCTGTAATTTTCATCATAGGTATACCTCAACTATGAGAGACAAAATGGGGGAAAAAATCCAGAAAATCACATTGTCTGATTTTTAAAGAATTTTATATCCTTTGTTGGCAATGAGGCCTGTAATTTTCATCATAGGTATACCTCAACTATGAGAGACAAAATGGGGGAAAAAATCCAGAAAATCACATTGTCTGATTTTTAAAGAATTTTATATCCTTTGTTGGCAATGCTGCTGGCCAGACATCTTGCTTGTTTGTAGGTGACCAAATACTTATTTTCCACCATGATTTGCAAATAAATTCTTTACAAATCAGACAATGTGATTTTCTGGATTTTTTTTCTCATTTTGTCTCTCATACCTATGATGAAAATTACAGGCCTCTCTCATCTTTTTAAATGGGAGAACTTGCACTATTGGTGGCTGACTAAATACTTTTTTGCCCCACTGTATAGGGGTAAACAGACAGAACTGAAAGTGGAAAACTGTCATATTTCATAGTTTTACAGGTTCTTTGTTTTAATTCATAATTATGTTGTTCTTCCTACCTGTCATTTCCTTTGAACATATAAAATGGGGATTGTTTTTTTTAAGTCTTGAAATTTTACAGCATATACATGTCTAATCTAATATTACCAACGCAATAAATCCTCCAACTCATTCTTTAGATTGTAGCAGTCATCACGAAATTTAAGAGAGAACAAGCTGATGATAACAAGTTGGGTTTATTTCTGGGAAACTAGCTTCTATGCTGCAAATAGCCATGAACCAGACCACAAGTCTAGGCCAGTGTTTCTCAACCTTGGCAACTTTAAGACAAGGCTGGCTAGGGAATTCTGGGAATGGAAGTCCACACATCTTAAAGTTGCCAAGGTTGAGAAACACTGGTCTAGGCGATGAAACCCAGAATATCGAGTGTTGTTATCAAAGGCATGCCAGCAAATAATACAGTTAAGACAGCCTAAAATTTACAATAGAAGAGTACTATTAGAATTAACTAAATGTCCCCCAAATAACGTCAACAAGCTTCTCAGTCTTCCAGAACCTTAAATAAACAAAATAATAGAGATTGAAGGGAAAATCTATTGTTGTAACATTCTTACAATGTAGGGCAATTACTCAGATTTTACATTGTTTACAAAAACCAGGCAACTAGCATTATTTCATTCCTATAGATTTAAGACTAATCCAACAGTCTAATCTGACAGCACAATGCTATGTATGTTTACTTAAGTCTACTAAGTTCAAAAGGCTTACTCTTCGATTATGTACATAGACGATTCTCCCTAAATTTGCCTAACATGTCCTGCCCTCCAGCTTAGAGTAACATTTCTATATCCTCTTACCTGAGACATCTCTTCTCAACTGGACTTACTTCAGAGTAAAAAAAGGTCAAGCTCAACTCCGGTTGACTTCATGGATGTGTCTCTCTAGTTTTCATGGCAACAATATGAAAGTGGTTTGCCACTACTGGCTTCTGTTTGGTGGTTTGTTTTTTAATCTTCCTAATCCTGGAATTTCTTGATCACTTCCCACCCAGTATTAACCAGAACTGATTATCAATTACATACCATCTAGATAAATGAAAGTGCTGATATATATTTATACAAACACAACTGCATCAGCATCATGCTGAGTTTCCTTTTCTCCCCCTCCCATTATTGTCCTGTATAACAATCACCTTGAAAAAGTGGTTTCTACACTCTGAGAGTACCACTTTGTGACATTTTAATTAGTGCTAGTAAAAGTATTACTCTACTGCGCCTTTTAGAATTTCCCCCCACAAACCAACAAAGTTGTCTGCTGTTTGTGTATAGTTTGCAAGAGAAGCAAATGTTTCTGATGTTGGATAATGGGATATAATGGTCTAAATTCATTTGGTAAAACCAAAAGCAAATTGTATTAGGCTATAGCTATCTTCTCCACTTTTTGTAGCAGGCTTGCGTGTTTAAATAAGCATATCTCTTGTACTTATCATAGGTACAGTACTATAAGTGAATTGCTCCATTAAAAAATCTTATTGTCTAGCTGTAGTAACCTGGGGCTATATTCAAAATCAGATGATAGAGTTATAACTTCCCATGTTTTCCCATTGCCCCTATGAAAGAAAAACAGAATCTGGGGAGATATAGTTAAATTTACTTAACGTTCACCTCTTAATATTCTCTAATTGTCTCATTGTAGTCACACTGGAAATGGCTGATGGATGGCCATTTTTTGCTCTTTCTATAAATGTTCATTTGAGGAGGCAAGAAATATCAGATCTGGACTAGACTCTTGGACCCTCCAGATACAGCAGACTACATCTCCCCTCACGGCAAACCATTTAGGGCTTGTGAGATTTGAGAAAAGCTGATCTAATCCATATTAGGGAGGGTGAACTCATGATCCAGAAGCTGGAAAGCTATTTAATTTATTTCAGTGGTAGATATTGAAGATTAATAACTTATAAAAATTGAACCACTGCGTTCATTGATTAAATTCATCAGTTAAAATGTTTAACAAAAAAAAGGGACAATTAACAGAAATTATTTGAAAATCACTACGGTATTCCTAAACACAGTACATGGAAGCATTATCCTAAAAGTCATTATATTCCTCCCTACCCCCCACCCCATTAGAAGGAAAGACTTTTTCAGAAAATAGTTCTTGCTACAACTTACATGGGCGTTGATCAAAACAGCATAAGCATCTTGCTTCAGAAGAAAAAAAAATATCTACAGGTCTAATCAATCAACTACATTTTACATTATTACTCAATTTTAATTGGATACACCCACACACGAACGTTGTACAGGAGTAAATAACTTGTGGGATTCACAATGCTCCTTACCTATAGTAGCCTTCCACAAGTTGTGTCCTTTGGTTGCCTTGTTTTTCGGCTAAACAAAATCCCGCCGCCAACACAGTCAAAAGCCCCCTTGGCTAGAAGGTTATGGGGACTCAATACAATTGTTCACACAGATTAGAACTACCATGTTCCAAACTACTCACAAACATATCAAGAGGGCGGGAATATCCCACCTTGAATTGGGTATAGAGTCAAGTTGGATTAAAATGTTACTCCAACAGGTGAGGAGTGTTTTGGGATAGACGCCTCTTACCCACTTCTCGGAATAGTTAGAATTAACAGCTCCTGATAATACTTACAGAAAGGGGGCAGCTGTTTCGCTTCCCTCCAGGATTTTCTGGGTACCCTTTTCGCGGAATAACACAGTCCAAACAATTCGGACTCCTGCCTTCTACTACATGTTCTCCCAGAGCGGCACAGATTCTTCGGGGTTCCCCCACCCGCAAAGGAAAAAAGTCACTCGGAAGGCATCCCAACTTCGCGAACACCAAGTATCCCCATGAATATCCTTCTAGCAGCCTGAGCGCGCCAGCGAGTGCCGCAGCAGGCTCTCTGTCCGGAGATCGAGGAGCGCCCGCTTCTCCCACCAGGTCTCTTCGCCATCGCAACTTATGGGAGGCTCCCAAAGGATCCGATTATAGGCACCTATCCGGGAGCCCCAGCCTTCGACCCTGGGCATACCTGGGGCCGCTCCCTTCCTTTCCTCCAAGCCCCGGTTCCCTCTCCCTGTGCAACGAACCTGATGGGACAAGGAGTTGATTGAGCTCCTCGGAGCTGACTTACCTTTGGCTCCCGGCGCATCGTTCTCTCGCTGCGTCTCCCGAAACGCTGCCGGCTCCGTCGCAGCTCCCCAGCCCTCAGAGGGACGGCAGCGCGCCCCGCTGCGCCCGACTTCGCCTCACCCTTTCTGGCTCTGCTGCCAGGGGCAGGGGGCATGCCCTCCGCCAGCAGTAGGGGGCGCTCTGAACTTCCCTTCCTCCTCCTCCTCCTCCTCCTCCTCCTCCGATGCGGCAGCCTTCCAAAGAAGGATTCCTTCCTCAGGGCCGGGCTCCCCCCACCCCGCCCGCAATACTGTGCAGGAAAAGTTCTCTTCTTCATCCTCCTGCGGAAAAGTAGCGAACCCTCTGCAAAAACTAAGCTTGGTGGTCCGAGATTGGCGCGCGGACACTGCGCTCGCTGAGCATGCGCCGGAGGAGAGGGGCTGCGGGTCTGTGTAAATCTCTTACCTTCTCTTTAGCTACGCGGACTGGGAAGGGGAGTCTTTCCCGCGGAGGTTTGAATTCTCGGAGGTCCGGGTATTGCCTCCGCTTCTTACCAACAAAAGAGGAGGCAGAGGTGGAAGAGCTACTACTTTTCCTGCAGAGAGTTGAGGGAGAGGAGGCAGAGGTGGAAGAGCTACTACTTTTCCTGCAGAGAGTTGAGGGAGAGGAGGCAGAGGTGGAAGAGCTACTACTTTTCCTGCAGAGAGTTGAGGGGGAGGGGGTGCGGGTGGGGGGCGACACCCTTCCTAAAAGAAAGAACGGGGCTCAGGAACGCCCAGTAAGCAGTGACACATTTGCACTCCTCCGTGTTTCAGCAGCTGCTGGAACTCTTGGCTTTGGAGGCTAATAAGGTGGGGCAATGTGGCAAATCTCTGTACCTTTGGGGAGAGGTGGTCAGCCGTATGTGGGGAGGGGGGCAAAGGCCAGGCAACATCTGGAGGGAGCCTGGGGGGCAGCTAAGGGACTAGAACCTAGGACACAAATAGGCCAGATTTCTGAGGTCTACAGCACAGTGTTCCTCTTTAAAAAAGTGGGAAATTGCCTTCAGCTCCCATCATCAGAAATAATTCCCGGAACTGCAAAACATGGCTTGGGGGGCCCACCCCTGCTGTGAGGTGTCTCTCTGGCTTTTTTGCTGGCCTGGTTGTCCTTCTGTTTTCCCCATCCACACACAATACACTATGCCATCTATTACATGGGTCTAATCAGTTGGATTTCACTGAAGAAACTATAGTTAGACAACTGTGATTTAGTGCTGTATGTGAATCCAGTCATTCTGGGGCCTGGTGTCAGCCACTCTCAATCGTAGCAACATCCTGTCATCACTACCCCACAAGCAGGACTGTAGGTAGCCTCAAATAAGCTTGTTTGGAGACTTTTTCTTTCATTCAGCTTTGAAGTAATCCGCTGGGCATATGGGGGGAGACAAACCTACTCTCTCAGAATCCAATTTATTGGCAGTTTTAGGTGATGGTATCTGAGAGAATATTTTGCTTAAATCTGACAAAGTGTCAAGTAAGGAAGTCTTTATCATTATGAACATTTTGACTTGTTGGGCACCTACACAGACAACAGCATGCCTCTATCTGCATTTGGCCCACAGCACGCCTCAGCAGGAGATGTGTGTTGTCCCACTGCCAGGTGAGGCATCTTGCTTTTAAGAAGAAGCCATAAGAGGCTAGATGGAGGCTCCATTTCCATGAAAGGTTGCCCAGAGCAAGAGATTATGAAATCCTCAGGGTGATGAAAAGGGGAATATTGCAATTCTCTGCAGCACTTTTGTGAAAATTACCTAATAGCCCCAAAGCTTCTCAGATCCTGTATTAAGGAGGTTTAGAAAGTACTTCCTAACACATGCAACCCTTTATGCTGTCCAAAATGTGCATGTGTCCACACGCAAAGTTTGGTAGAATCCTTAAAATGGACAGAGGTAACCTGCCCCCCCCCCCGAATCTGGGATATAGGAAAACAAAACAGTGTTTATAGTGCATATGAAGGAGAAAAGAGCTGACACCCAGAGCCTTGTATGGGAGATGAGGTAGAGAGAGCAGAAGGCATTAGCTGAAGATTAGAGCCAGTAATAAAACCTACCAAACCTGTTGCTGTTGGCAGACAGTGATGTGGCAAGAGATTGGACAGATGTCTTCTTCCACTCTAATAGAACAGAAAGGGAGGCATTAATTCACTGCACACAACTAAGCTAGCTACTCAGCTGGGAAGTGCAGGTAAAAAAGCGAAAAGTCACAAACCTCAGAGCTTTCTGTTTCCTCTTCTTCTAGTTCTTGAGAGCCAGTGTGGATTGCAGGAAGGAAGGAAGTCTGGTGAGCAGTGGATCTGGCTAAAGCACAGCATGAGAACAAGTAGGTCAGGAAGGCCCTTAGCATCGATTTCTTGCTCTTAACAGCGCTTAGGACTCAGAGAAGGAATGTAGGTAGCACCAAAGAATATATCTTTTAAAGCAGCTATTGGGACAAGTGACGCTCCTACATAACAGAAATACCCTGGCCCTTCTTTAAAGGGCAACTTTGGGGGGGGGGTTGCCTTTGAGTTAGTGTTGACTCCTGGCAGCTGCATAGACAAGTCCCTGAAGTTTTCTTGGCAAGATTTCAGAAGTGGTTTGCCCTTGCCTGCTTCCTAGAGCTGAGAGGGAGTGACTGGCCCAAAGTCACCCAGCTGGCTTCATGCCTAAGATGGGACTAGAACTCATAGTCTCCCAGTTTCTAGCCTGGTGCCTTAACCACTACACCAAACTGGCTCTCTAAACATGTTTTACAGTTGAATTTCTTATCTAGCATAACAGCAAGGCTGTTTTAAAGGAAAAGAAAGCAGGCAAAATTAGGGAAAAATATAATACAGGCCATTTTTCCACTAGTCACTTATAATCATTTTTCTCCCAGCTACTGTCAAAGAAATATAAAGCCTGTTCTCATTATTGTTATACTGGCACAACAATGGCTGGATTACTTTGGAAGATGCAGTGTGTGTGTATGTGTTTTTCTCTCTCCTTTCGAGCCAGCATTGACTCCTGGCAACTGCCTGGGCAAGTCCCTGTGGTTTTCTTAGCAAGATTTTGGAAGTGGTTTGCCACTGACTGCTTTCTACGGCTGGGAGAGAGTGACTAGTCTATGGGAAAAACAAAGCTGGTGATGCTACCGTATCTGTGTAGCAGAAATCCAGATGACCAGTAGATGGCAACCAACAAATACTGAAAGGTCCAACTCTTTGCTGCCATTTCGAAGCTGTGGAGAATTTTTGCAGCCCAAATGTTTTTGCAGCCCTCATCAAGGCCCTGCTGATTTCTCTTCCAAGCACAAAGCAACTCTAATCCTGCCTCCCTGACTAATCACCCCCTACCCCAGGTTGCAGGAAAGATCAGAGGGTAGAGCCAACTTCCAGTAACAGGAAAAGCAAGGGTCACACTTCCCTGAGCAATTGGAATTGGAAAGTTCTCTGCCAACGTCTTCTGTGTAAATCAAATGAAGTGTAAATTTGCATGAAATCAAATTAACCGAGTCCCAACTTAGACTTGGCATAATATTCTGGTTAACTGGAGTCTGTGCCCTTGTAGTCATGCTTCAGTTGGGGATATAGCTGCGTGCAGGCGAGCTGCCACGTTGCTGAAGACAACATATTTTAAAAATGAGTGCGAATGAGCGAAGGAGGGCTGGCTTTGTGCAGCAGGAGGACCACACAGCCAGAAAGGAATTAAATTCTTCTGTCCTGTTGCCAAGAAAACTGCATGGATGCATCCTTGAAGTCACCAGGATCTGAGCCTGACTTGAAAGAGACTTTACCGTAATAATGGATGTTGCAAGGGTTCTCCTAGTTCAGATCTCATTTCAGCCATCAGTTCAGCACATGGCCTTAAGGAATTGCTATCAGCCTCCCCGCTGCAATTCACTGCTAATAACTGTGATTCACTTCAGTTAATTTATATTGTTGCATAAAATGTCCACTTTTCTTTGCCCAGATTCCTCCTCATTATGCTCCTTCACTGGCTTTTGTTTCCTTGTTCAATTTAATTTAACTGTGTAGTTTTTGTCTCCAAATCTCTTTTTTCTATCTTTGTTCCTGTGGCACTTCTCCTTTTTTGATCCATTCTTCTTAGGTAAGCCTTGGGCTACTTCTTTTATGCCACATATAGAAATTACCACCTCAGGCATCTTTCAAAAAATTCTGGCTTAATATGGTAATTTTGACTATCAGTTACTGCATGTGGAAGTAAAGCCCACCAAACCCAGGAGGTCCTTCTGTGTAGATATGCACTTGATGGTCATCGTGAAAAATAAATTGGAAAATGTTCATCTGAGGAGAAGCTCTGGAGGCTCTTGGGATGAGTCACCAGCTCCTGGTAGCGGGGAGTCTTGCTTAAGAATAAGGATTCCTCACTGCGGGGTACAGTGAATTCCCAGAAATGCTGGGATAGGCTTTCTCTGACAAGAACCATTGCTGTAAGAGAAGCTCCTGAATTCTTGGGTGAAGAGACTCTTGGCTGCTGCAGATCTGTCTTTGCTCAACATCTGCATAGCCCTTTCTCTTCCCAGTTGCAGTTCTGTGGAGGGCTGCCCTGCCTACTTTCTCATCAGAAGCTACAGTCCTTTGTGGCCCCATTAGTGATAATGATGCCATAACTGCTGAGTGCTTTAATAATGAGGCTGTGGTTAACTGTAAAGCCCTCTAGGGTGAATTCCCAGCAGCAGCTGTCTTCCTCCTTTCCTGTGAAGAAGGATTAACCTGCTGCTTGCCCCAAATGGGCTGAATTGGGGGAGTACCCCATGTGCTTCCCTTCAACCTTCACAGTACTCTCCATATCCCAAGCCAGGTGTATTGCAGCTTGCACTTCCTCTGTGGCTTTTAATTCAGTCTTATTTTCTCCAAGATTTTCATGCTTTTCAAGGCTTGTTTTCCAGGTGACAATCCTTTGTATTGCACCATCTCTGCTTCATTCTGCTGGGCTCCTAATCATTGTGGCCTTATTCCAGCAACCTGATGCTTTTTAGGTGACATAACTTTCACCCTTCCCCACTGATAATGGGACATTCAGCTGTTATAAGAGCTGTGGTCTTCCCCACTCTGTGCACTTGGAATTGTCAGCCTGGCTAATGTTTGAGAAATCCTGTCTGAACTGCCAGTAAGGATAATGATGCATACGATGTGCAGAAGTGTGCTGATGTGGCTCTGGTGACAGGTAAGCATCCTTGTGTCATCTGTCAGAGACGTAGCTGCTTCCTTTTCTGTAGGACCCTCTGGAAACGTAAAAAGATAAGAGGCTCCAGCAGCAATGGAGTGTCCTGTGGTGGGTGGGCG